CGGGGGGCGTGTGGGGCAGGGGGCGTGTGTGTGGGGCAGGGGGCGTTGCTGACGGAAGGAGGAAGCGTGGAGGGTGGAGGAGCGAGGGGGATTGGAGGAGAGGCAGGAAGGAAGGCGGGCAGACAGGCATGGAGGGAGGGTGGCGAGTTTCTTGGGAGGAGGGGAGGCGGGCAGGCAGGCAGGCAACGTGGTGGGACGTGGCCAGCGAGGTGTGCAGGCGGGAACGACGGCTGGCCACCCTTACGTCTCAGCGGCCGCCGCCTTCTGCTCCTCACGATTCAGAATGAGCGACACCCCCACGCCGCCGGCGGGCGCGACCCGCACACCCGTGCCCGGCGCGGCGCCGGGCCCCGAGCCCATGCTCTGCATGCCGCTGCCGCCGCCGCCGCCGCCGCCGCCGCCGCCGCCGCCGCCTGGCCTGCCCAGAACCTCCCAGTGGCTGAAGTGGTCGCCGCTGCTGTCGCGCGTGCCCAGCGCATCCCAGCCTCTGCTGCCCTGCGGGCCTGCCATGAGCGGGTTGGAGAAGCTGGTACCGCTGCTTTCCACCCGGGCAGGCGGGCCTGCTGCATACGCGGGCCGGGCGCTGGTGCTGTTGGGCCCCAGCCAGCCGCCGCCACCGCCGCCGCCACCTGCTGCCAGGTACGGGCTGGGCTGGTCCAGCGCTGGCGAGCCCTGCTGGTCTAGAATCCACTCCACCGCCTGCTGCACGCCTGTGCAGCAAGAAGGGCAGGAGGGGAAGGGCGGGGAGGCGGTGAGCCACGCTGGCGCCCTGTTCTGAGCTGCTGGGCATCAGAGAGCAGACAGGGGGCGAGGTGCCAGGCAGCCACGGAGTCACATGGGAGGAGGGAGAGGCAGGAGACCCAGAGCCAGCCCAGCAGGCAGGGCAGCAGGCTCACCCGCGTTGCGCGTCGCCACCACAGCGTTCACGGCATGCAGGCGCGAGAAGCTGGCCGCGCACAGCCCCTCCACTATGGCCCAGTCTGGCTGGAAGCCGCCCGGCCCTGCCGCCGCCGCTGCTGCCGCCGCCGCCGCCGCCGCCGCGGCGCGGTGCAGCCCTTCGCCCAGCGGGCCGCCGCCCACGCGGCCCGGCACCGCGCCGCCCGCGGCCGGCGGCAGCGCCGGCGCGGGGCACAGCTGCTGCATCAGGCCGGGGGGCGCCGCCGCCCACGCCTGGCCCTGTATCGCGCGGGTCAGCTGGGCATGCAGCGTCTCCGGGCTGGAGCCCTTGCAGATCATTTTGAGCGGCGCCACGCCGGCTGTGACCCTGGCATCTGCGGGCACACAGGGCCAGGCAGCACCGGGAGCCTGCGCCATCAGCCCAGGGCAGCGGCAAAAACCGATGAGAGCACAGGCATGAGGCACCGCCTCCCTCCCTTGGCTGCTGGTGTGGTAATGTGCCGGTACCGTGGGCCCACCTTGCGTGGGGTAGCGGCCCGCGTCCACCCGTACCATCAGCTTCACTCGCGCCGCCTTGATCAGCATGCCCGGCCGGTGCTCCACCGCAGATACGGCGGGCAGCGGCAGGTGGCAGGGCACGCCGCCGTCGCCGGCGGCGGCGCCGCCGTCGTGCTCTGCTGCTGCTTGGGTGGCGATCCAGATGATGCGGTAGTTGGTCAGAACCACATAGCCGTCCTGCGGGGTGGTTGGGCGCGGCTTGGAAGAGGCTTCTGTAGATGTCGACAGGAGGCTTCTGTAGATGTCGACAGCACGTGCAGCGGTAGGGCGGCAGGCCCGCTGGGAGACAGCAGCCACGGGCAGCCACCCCCCAGCGGCCCCACCTTGTATTCCTCTGCTGGGTGCTCCTCCACGCCGCCAGCGCCGTAGAACATCAGGTCGATCTGCAGCCGTCGGCAGCAGCAGGGGCCGCAGGCAGGTGAGGGCAGGGCACGGCACCCGTATCTGAACCACGGTCAAGGGCACCGCTGCCGCCGGCGGGCGACCGTGCTGCGCGCACCTTGTCCAGCATCCCCCGCTCCACCTCCCCGTGCAGGAGCACGGGCCTGCCCGTGGGGGTGAGTTCGGCCCGGAACAGCTTCACCATGTTGAAGATAGAGGTGCGAGGGGCCGGTGATCAGCGGCGAAACCTCCACCCCGCCCCCAGACTACTCTGCATCTTATAAGCAGCAGGCTGGGAGCTGTTTCACGATGATTTGTGTCCAGCAAGCCCGATGCTTCGCCTGCTGCGCCGAGCACTCTGACCGCGCCCAAGGCTGCTCGATTCGGACATCCATACATCGCGATCACCTCCGAAGAGCTCAATTGCGTGTCGTGGGTCTGCCGGACACTGCGAGCGGGCAAAACCTGCCGGCGCTGGTCCAGCTTTTCGACTCCGCCAGCCCGCTACCCGCACAACATGCTGAACAGGCTGCGCAGCGGGCGCATTCACCCCGATGTGGCGGCTGCCGGCGGGGGCCCGCGCAGCCTGAGCAAGACGAGCAGCGCCAAGTCGTTCCGGCGGCAGGTGTCGGGCAAGTCTGATGCGCAGCGCGAGATCGACCGCTCGCTGGCCATGTCGGACCAGGACCACGCGGCCTGGCTGCAAGACAGGGTGAAGCACGACGGGCGCAAGGCGGCCATGGCCCTGCTCAAGTTCTACCTGCGCATGCTGAAGCCGTGCGTGGTGGTCGCCGCCTACGTGGCCGCCATGTACGCCGCCATCTCCTGGTCCATCCCCAACCTGCTCTGCAACTCCATCGCCAAGGAGAACTCGGTGGGTGGGTGGGTGGGTGGGAAGGAACAATCCTTCCCTGTGCGACTGACGGCTGGCCTGACCTGGCGGATGAACAGCGCCCCAGCGCTCCTTGCTCCCCGCCGAGCGCCGTCACATGCATCCCACCGCCCGCGCCTCCTTCCCGCCTGCCCCCGCAGGGCTCCCTGGTGTCTGGCGAGTGCATCTACATCGACACAGGCAACAAGGGCTACTCGGTGGCCTGGGGGCAGAAGGTCTTCTTCCTGGTGTTCTGGACCGTGCAGGCCGCATGGATGGCCGGCTTCTGCGCCTACATGACCGCCATCCTGTTTGGTGCGCCGCCCTGGCCGCCGCTGTGGTGGCGGCCGGCGGCCGGCGGCTAGCAGCTGGTGGTTTCGGCGGCTGGTGGGGCCAGGGATGCATGAGGATCTCAGGCAGCCGAAACTCACCCCTGTGGGCCTCTGCCGCCCCTCCCTGTTCCCCGCAGGCCCCGCCTTTCGCAAGCGGGAGCGCATGGCGGTGTACCTCATCACCCTGCTGGCCGCGCTGATCAACCCCATCTGCGGGCCCCGCTTCGGGCTGGCGATGAACAGCCCGGGGATCATCCTGGGGACCGGTGGGCACATGCGGGCTATTACGCACCGCCATACCGCCGTACCGCTTGTCACTGCAGCAGTACCACCGGTGCAGCCAGCTGGCGCTTGGCAATCTACTGGCGCCTCAGGCTCCCAGCTGTGCACCGGTGACCCCTGACCCTCTGTGCCTCCCCGCCTCCCCGCCCGCCCACGTGTGCGCGCAGGCGTGGCCAGCTTCTTCAACATGCTGAACACCATGAACGCCCCCATGCGCTACTCCGCCAACCCGCTCAACCGCCTGCGCTGGATCAACATGCTGTTGCTGGCCTCCATGGTCTCCAACATCTACCTCTTCCTCATCCCCATGTGCGACTGCCCCCTCCCGCCTGCCCCGCTCTGTATCCCTGTGTCCCTGCCCTGCGCCATGCTCCCCCCCTGTGTTCCCTGCCACGCCATGCGCTGACCAGCGCTGCGCTGAGCTGCCGCCAGCCCATCCGCCCGGCGCCCCTCCACCCCCTGCCGCTTGCCCACGCCATGCAGGGCCATCACGGCGCGGTCGGCCGACGCCTTTGGCGGCATGGGCATCACCTTCCTGCGCCTGGTGGTGCACCCGGCCATGTGGGCCACCATCCTGGTGACCTTCCGCTTCATGCTGCGCAACATTGGTCAGTCGCCCGGCCGGCTGCCGTGGAGCAGGGAGGGGAGGGGGCAGTGCCCCCCTGCTGTGGAGCCTCGCGTGCGCGGGGGCTGCTTGGCGGTCGCGCGGTGGATTGGCCCTGCTGTCTCTGCGGCCCGTGCGTCAGATGTGTGTGTTTCATCATGAAGGGGGCGGTCACCTGCTGCGTCCCGACATGCCCCCGACTTGCGGAGTGCAGGCTACATCCCGGAGATGCGCAGCAGCATCCTGCTCTGCTGGCCGCTCATCTACTCCTCCCTCTACGGCCGCTTCCTGCTCCTGCAGGCAAGCAGCGCTGCGCTGCCGTCGCTGCTGGGGCCACTGTGCTGTGCTGTGCTGTGCGCTGTGCCTTGCTGTGCTGTGTGTGCTGTGCTCTGCTCTGCCGTGCAGTGCTGTGGCGTGCCGAACCCTTCCGCTGTGCCTTGCCATGCCACGCCATGCTGCGCCTGCCCCCCGCCGCGTGCAGATGGAGGGCGCCGGCAGCGTGGTCATGGTCAACCTGCTGATCGCCTTTGTGGAGATTGCTGGCCGCCTGGACGACCGCTCCAGCGACGGCCTGCTGCTCAAGCTGATGTACGGGGAGCGGGCCAGGGACGCCATCACTGCCGCCAGGGTGGGTGCAGGGCGGGGGGCAGGGGGAGAGGTCGCTGGCGGCTGGCTGGTGGGGCCGCTGCCATCCGTGGCTGACACTCGTGTGCCTCGACGCCGGGTTGCAGGCTGCTGCATGCTTTTTGCTTGGGACAGGCTGCCCCTCCCCGCACACACCACAAACACACAGCACAGCGGCCCCCACCGGTGTACATCACCACCCCACGCGCTCCACACGCACGCCGCACACCGGCGCCTGCCCGCCCGCAGGACCAGGATGAGAAGCGCATGTCTGAGGTGTTCATGGGGCTGATGACGGAGCTGACCAGCATCTTTGCCGCCTCCTTCATCCTCTCCCTGGGCGGCGTGGCCCTCAAGCAGGGCGTGCCGCCAGACCACAAAGCCATCTGGGTCAGCGCGGGGCTGCAGGTGAGGCCCGGGGCTGGGCTGTGCCTGGCCTGGTACAGCTGGGGGCGGCAGCTGCAGCTCGCTGGCGCTGGGGCGCGTGATCACCCCTCAAACTGTATCCACACATGGTGGCCCTGCCATACGATGGTCACTGACAGCTCACCCGCCCACGTGCCCGCACACCTCCCCGCCCACCTACCTCCCTGCCCACCTGCCCGCCTGGCACCCTCAGGCTGTCACCACCCTGGTGTCTGAGTTCATCGGCATGGCCATGGAGGGCAAGTACCACTGCTTCGAGTGGTCCCGCGCCTACACGCCCATCCCCGTCAGGATCACGGTGCTCATCCTCGTCATGATGACCTTTGGCGCCTCCAGGTGGGGGCCTGGCTGTGGTGTGGGTGGTGGGAAGAATGATGGTGGGAAGTGGTGGTGGCTCGTGCAGAAGGCCCGGCAAAACACACTGCCCACCAGCCCCACACCGCGCATGCTTGTTGCCCACGGCATGCCCTCCTCCGCCCCGCCCGCGCAGGCTGTGCCTGGAGGTGATCGGCATCTTCTGCCCCACCTACTACCCAGACCGCGACATCATCCTGCTGGAGCAGTGCGACAAGCCCTCGCTGTTCCAGGTGGGCGGGCGCTGACGTGGCAGCGCTGACGTGGCAGCCGCCTTCGAATGCAGGAGCCTCACATCAGCCAGCCATGGGCGCCGCCCTGCTGCAGGCCATCACCTTCTCCTCAGCCGACCGATTCAAGATGATTGGTGGGTGGGCGGGCGGCAGCCCACGGTGGCTAGTCGCCTCCCAACCGCTGCACGCTCCCCACTGCCCCCCCCACACTGACATAAACGTGGCTCCCAGCTGCCGCCCTGCGCTGCAGGCTCCTTCTTCAACTACACCGATGGCGTGTTCAACATGACTGGCGGGTATGGGGTCAACACTGTGTAGACCGTCTGCCCGATGCCCCGCAGCGCAGCACTCAGTGCAGGCCCCAGCGGGCCGGCATCCAATGCGCAGCGTTTCCTTCTCGCATGCTTGCTCCTTGCCTCTCCCATCCCTCCCAGCCCCGCTCGTCTTCGTGTTGTTTCCCTTGAGTTGGGTGCTGGGTGTTGTGTTGCTAGTTGAACATGAAACTGCAGGCTCAATGTGGCTATCACGGCAAAGCTGCTACGGAGCTCAGCAGCTGTGTAAACACAAAAGGAATAGCAAAAGGTACTGCCAGGGATACAGTGCAGCTGGGACTGGCAAAGAAGAGCAGGGGTAAATTTGTGCAGGCACAGGGGTAGCAGATACGTCAGATACATTGGTCGGAGGGTCGGTCAGTCGCTCAATTTGCTCACTCGGCCTCTCTCTGCCTGTCTCGCAGTCAGGGCCGGGGGTCCGGCCGGGCAACACGAGGTCGCGCCCCAGCCGGCATGCCACCCAGCCAGCCGGGCCCAGGCTGCAGGCGCTACTCAGAGTCCAGGCTGGACAGGGAGGAGTGCAGCACGTCCAGCGCATCCAGGTGCCGCCCGTCTGCGCAGCCCGGCACCGCCGACGCCAGCAGCGCGTGCACCTGCTCGGCGCGCGCCACGTTGCGCCCCGCGCCCTGCCCCATGGCCGTGGCCGCCCCCACCGCGTTTGCCAGGGCCATGACGGCGGGGATGGAGTGCTCCCGCGTGTACCCCAGCACCAGCGCCGCCGCAAAGCTGTCGCCGCAGCCGACTGCGGCAGGCGGGTGGGGCCGGGAGGGGTGTGTGCGCCGGGCAGCCAGGTCAGCCCAGGCACGGGGCGCAAGGGACAGGTGGTGCCAATGAACCTGCTGCCCCTGCTGTGCCATGCACACGGCAGAGAGGCGCCACCATTGGGTGGACCTCATGCCCGCAGCCTCGCACTCTGCCCTGCATGCACTGCCCTGCATGCACCAAGCCCTGCATGCACCCCCGGACGCCCCACCTGTGTCCCGCACATCCACCCGCAGCGCCTGCTGGCTGTACAGCTGCGTGGCTGTGCGGCAGCCCAGGATGGCGCCCTCCGCGCCCCGCTTGATCACGCACCACTGCGTGCGCGCCCCCGGCCGCCCCAGCACAAACCGCGCCTGCTGCTCCGCGCCCGCCAGCCCCGTCACCGCCTCTGCCTCCTCTTCTGTCATGCACACGCAGTCGGCCACAGACAGGATGGCTTCCAGCGCTGCCTTGCGCTCTCCCTCGCTGAAAGTCCAGGAGCGAGGGCCTGCGGCGCCAGGCGGGGCAGGCAGCGGGCGTCGAGCAGGTAAGACGTGAGCTTTACAGCCATGACAGCCGGCCACCCCTAACTCTGCAATACACAGATGCAACGGCGGCACGCTAGCCGGGCACCATTTGGGCAGCGGCCGGCTCCCTGCTGCGGCCACTGCTGCTGCTGCTGCTGCTGCTGCACTGGCCGCACAGGTGCCCCACCTGGGTCGAAGAACACGGCAGCGCCTGCTGCCTGCGCGACGCGCGCCGCCTGCAGCACCGCCCCCGCCGGCAGCTCGTCAAACACAAAGCCGTTGATGAAGAGGGCCTCGGTGTTGCGCAGCACCTGGCTCACGCCCTCGGGCAGCTCCCGCACAAACGACAGCAGCGGCCAGGGGCCAAAGTCGTAGCGGCTGCGGGCCGGGGAGGCGGCAGGGCAAGCCAGGGAGGGGTTTGGTGGCAGGGCAGGGCGGATGGCGTGGACTGGCACAGAAGCAGCGGCACACGGCTGCCTGCCCGCCAGCAGCAGGCACAGCGACAAACACAGCGTTGCTGGCTGCACCATCCCCGTCACCCGCCGCCCCAGCCGCGGCCTCGCCTGCAGAAGGCGTGCTTGCCGCCGGGCGCCACCAGCACGAAGCACAGCAGCGTGTGGTCCTGCTCCGGGCTCAGCTGCTGCGCCGCCACCGGCTCTACGGTGCGCACACGCTCCGCCTGCAGTACGTCCTGCATGTACCGCCCGAAGATGTCCTGCCCCTGCAGCAGCGGCGCCAAGCGCAGAGGGCAAGCAAGGCAATGGTCAGCCGCGTACAAGCAAGCAGCGGGAGGCGCGGTTCAGGGCCCGACACCAGCACTAAGCGCTGCCTCGCTGCACAGCCGGCCCTGCAGCTCTGGCAGCCAGCGGTGCGGCTTACCAGGTGGCCCACGCAGGCGGTGCGCAGGCCCAGCCGGGCGGCAGCGATCAGGAAGTTGGTGTTCTGCATGTAGGGAGAGGCGGGGAGATGAGCAGGATGCATGTTTCAGTGCAGTGCTTCGGCAAAACGCGTCCCCCGGTCCAGCCGCACCCGGGTGAAATATCAGCTGGCAAGGCGTGGCTTGCACCAGGAGGGGGATACAGCAGGCACAGCAGTGCGCTCACCCCGCCAACCTCCCACTGCTCCACCGGTGGCGGCTGCGCCGTGAGCTGCCTCAGGAGCTGCTTGCGCGACGCCGCGTCTGGCGGAGGCAGCTCCTCCACCGGGACCATGATGTCGACGCAGAGGTTGCTGAGGGCGACGACATCGTATTGCTTTGTGCGACGCGAGGGCAGCGCCTTGCCAGCGCTGGTGCTGGGCTGCGGGGCGTGGTCTAGGCGCTCAGCGGCGGCGCACCGGGTGGTGGCCCGCCCGCTACTGGTAGCTCGGACATGAAGTCCTGCCGCCTCACCGCTGCAGGAGGTGCCTGGCAGGCATAGTAGGCGCCTGGGGTGCGGGGCTGCTGGGTTGCACATCGCCTGCTGCCCTCGATGAGCCGCCGCAACGGCCAACATTGTGGCATCCAATCACACAGTCAAGGACAGGCGTGGCAAGGGACCGGAGGGCGAAAATAAAGGTTGACTGAATGAAACGGGAGTTGCGCTGTGCTGCGATCCCCAGGGGTGGCCCGGTGCCTGGCTACGATGAGAGGATGGTGCAAGATCAACGGCAGCGTGCATGCATGAGGAGCGCTCCCTGCGGCGCCGTGCTGAGGGACCAGCTCTGGCGCTGGGTACTCTTTAGAGCGATCACGCCTCTGACAGACACTAGCATCGCTGCGGTGAATCTGTGACACGGCCTGCAAAGCGCTGTCACGGCAGGAGGCCGCGACAGGAAACCCTGTTCCGCAGACAGCGGCTGTCGGGCGTGATACTTGCACCACCAGCGTCCCGGGAGCTGGCACGAGACTGCCAGGCCAGCAAAAGATCGACCAGCGAGATGGCAGAGGTATGCCCCTCTTGGCGCAGGCTTCCCAGCTACTTTTCATGGCGTTGCAGGCTGCTGCAGAGGCGCCCGACACACGTACCGCCAGTCTCCCGCCCCTCCCTGCAACCGGGCGCCGCGGCCCTGCTTCCCGCCGCCCGCTCACCGCCCGCCGTCCTTGCTCCCTCGCTGCCGCAGGACCCGCCCACTCCCCCTGCTGCCGCGCCGGCGGGCCCGCGCCGCGCCCTCAGCCGGGCACCCACCTTCCGGGAGCAGTTTGATTCGATGAAGGAGGAGATGCAGAAGCGGCTGGAGCCGATGCTGGAGGCGGCGGGGACGGCGGCGGAGGGCATGTCGCTCCTGCTCGATCCCGCCACACAGATGCAGCTGCTGGATGAGGCGCTCGCCGAGCAGCCGCATGCAGCGGTGCGCGGAAACACGCCCAGGACGCCGCGCGGCGCCTCCCGCAAGCCCTGGGTGCCGCAGCTGCGGGGCCTCGGCCTGGCCTCACCACCGCTGCTGCGCCGCCTGCCTGCCTGCAGCCTGACATCAGCACGGCTTCGGGCAAGGCTGCCGAGGCGGCGAGGGAGGCGCGGGAGGAGGTGGCGGCCGAGGCGCGGCTGCAGAAGATGGGCGGCTCGCTGATCGACCCGCACAAGATCATGCTCAAGGACAAGCTGGCCTTTGTGTTTGGTGCGCCGGCCCAGGCAGCCAGGCAGCCACGCCGCGAGGGGTTGCGGCCTGCAACGCGCAGCGCCTGCTGGGCCTCTTGGAGCCGTCGTCGGTCCAGGCTCCGCGCCTCCCTGGCTCTGGCTGCCTCGTGCCTTAACAACCCCTGGCGCGCTGCTGGCGTGCCCTGCTCGTGCAGGCGTGGTCAACGTGGTGCTGACCAGCTTCTGGGTGGGGCGCTGGCCCTCCACCTACTACTGGTTCTGGATGGCCAAAGACGTGGTGCTCTTCACCCTGAGTGAGCCCTCCTCCAGGCGCCGCCCTTGCGCAGCCTCTTCCCAGCTGCCGGCCGCCAGTGATGCGGTGTGGGTGGCTGCCCCGCTGGGCGGCCACCACGCTCAGCACCGAGCACTGCATGGACGCGCCTCACCTGAATCGCTGCGACTCCTGCCTGCAGGGTACATGGTGTACAAGAAGAAGGGGATGCACTACATGTGAGCGGCCTGTGGCAAGAACGCAGCCCTGCACACCGCTTGTGCTGAGCCTGGTGACCACGAGGCGCTCGCCCCACTCACACACAAACAGTAGACGCCAGCACACGCGTCCTTGCGCGTTCTGACCTCTGCGCTGCCCACCCCGTACTCCGCTGTACCGTCCACTGTACCGCAGGATGCTGGAGTACTGCTACGCCGCCAACCTGGCCGCCTTCTATTACCTCATCTTCGCCCCACACAACGCCTTTCTGCGCAAGGTGCGGGCGGCGGCGCGCCCGCGCCCAGGCGGCATGGTTGGATGGATGGATGGATGGATGGATGGATGGATGGATGGATGGGGGATGGCAAGCCCCTGCTCCTCTCACGACGTGCCTTCTCCCCGAACCCCGCAAGCCGCAGTTCTGCTTTGCGGTCATGACGGGCCCGCTGATGTGGAGCATCGTGGCCATGCGCAACTCCCTGGTCTTCCACGACGGCGACAAGATCACCACACTCATGATGCACGCCTCCCCCGCCATCAGCGCCTGGTGAGGCCGCGCAGCCCTGCACAGGCCGGCGCTGCACATTACAGGCGGCGCAGCACGCCACAGCACACGGCACAGCGCAGGCCTGCGTCGGCAGGGCTGCGTCGGCAGGGCTGTGCCTCGCGTGGTTCCACTCCATTCCCCTCGTGGTCTTCGCCCCTGCAGGTGCATGCGGTGGCACCCGCAGGCCTCGTGGACGGCCGGCATGACCCCCGCTGAGCTGGCGGCCTTCAACAGCGCCAGCTGGGTGCAGATGGCCATCGTGCCGGCGGCCCTCAACGTCGTGTGGGTGGCGATCTACTACCTGCTGGTGCGCCTGCTGGGCTCATGCTGTGCCTGCTGGGCTCCTGTCCTTCCTTTCTTCGGGCGGGACGGTTGGATGTCCTGCTGGCCTCCTGTCGCATGCCTGTTTCGAGTGTGTCTGCTGGGTCCGGCTCAGCCCGCCCTGTTGGCGACCTGACCCCCTCCCACCGCAGATCTTCGTGATTGTGAACAAGCGGATCCAGGAGCGGGGGTACCAAAACATGTGAGGGGCGGGATGGCCTGCTGGTGGTTGCGGGCGGCGGCAGGACAGCATTCCCTCGACCCCACTCGCTCGCTGGTTCTGTCCAATTCACTGTACTCTACTCTATGCTCTTCTCTGCCCGCCCCACCAGGTTCACTGCCATGGTGATGCGCCCCACGGCCCGCAAGAGCCCCCTGGCCAAGCTGGTGCTGTCGGTGCCGCAGGCAATCCAGCCGCTGGCGTACCTGGGGTGAGCGCTGCGGCCCGCTGCGCTGCGCTGTGTGCAGTGCCACTTACCTGCAGCAGCACAGCAGCAAGGTTGGGGCTCTAAATTGACGGTTGACCTGCCGGCACGTCCGGCTGCCGTGCCTCCGCAGGCTGCACACCTTTGCCAGCTGGATCTCGCTGGTGCCGACCAAGATCTGGTTTGACTCCTACTGGGCCCACACCGCCATCCTGTGCGGCATCCTGCTGTGGGCCACATGGAACGGAGCCAACTTTTACTTCCGGGTGCGCTGGCTTGGGCTGAGGCGGGGCGTGCCGCCGCTGACATGACGTACGTAGCGCAGGGGCTCCCGCGGCAGGCTCGGCGTTAGAGCTCGGCATTTGGGTGCCTGGTCAGAAGCACCCCAAGCAGAGAAGTGGCAGCGACGCGCCTGCTGGTCTCACCGCCCTGGCTGCAGGTGTTTGCCAAGAAGCTGATGCAGGATCAAGTGGAGAAGCAGCAGGCAGCGGAGGCGAAGAAGGCATCGTGACGTGACGGCCCTGCCCTTTGCTGTGATGCCTGGCATGCTTCATCTCGCACTGAGGCGACCTGTGCTGAGTGAGTTGATCTGTTGCGATGTGTGCCCTCCATCCACCACAATTGCTTCTATCTGGTCGGTGGCAGGTGCATCTGGCCCTAGTCTACTGTGCAATCACAGCCAACAATCGTGAAGCGTGTCAGTCAGTAGTCAGATCACAAGTGAGTAGTCAATGAAAGCGATGGCTGGGCTTGCCCAGCTGGTGTGCTGCTTGCCAGCTAGAACCAGGAGTTGGCCGCGCCGTCATAGCCCTGCAGCAGCAGTGGAGCACGGGAGTTCGCTGCATGCTACTGCTGCCGAGGCGTACAGAAGGCGGGCAGTAGCAGCAGCAGGCACGCGAGGGGCATGCTGCATGGACAGCTGGCACTGGCGCACGTAGGCCCAAGTGCTGGCAGTGGCGGCGATGTTCTTGGTGCTGTGGGGCACGCCCGCCGGGATGAATATGTCGTCTGCAGTGCATGGGAGCCCCGCCGCAGGTGTGTGGGCATGTGGCAGCGCTGCCACGGGATAGGGACGGTTCAGGGGCACACCTCCAGGATCCAGCTCGAAGCTGTCGTCCAGGAGCGTGAAGAGCATGCGCCCCTCCACCACCGCCACAAGCTCGTTTGCGTCGTGCGTGAAATTGTTCCACTCGTGGCCGGGCGGATCGATCATGCAGCCGCAGTGGAAGCCAAGCTGTGCCCAGTCGCGCTCCACTGTTTTGAGGCTGACAGGGATGGAGAACTTGCGCCTGCATGCGACGGTGGCAGCGGCAGGGAGGCAGCGGAAGCGGGCCACGGCAGTGTAATCAGTCTCCCCTCAGCCTGCCCGTTCGCCACTTCCCTCATCGTGCTTGGGCCAGTCAAATGAAGGCCCTTGCCTGATCACATACGGCTTCCTGCCCTCCCACACAGCTTTGCTGCTGCGAACTGTGGTGCTGGCCCCGCCCAGCGCTGCCAGGGCAGCTCGCACGGGCGCTGGCAGCATCGTTTGGGCGGACATGAGCTCTAATTTCCCAATTTCGAGTCCCCTGCGTTGCGTGCTGTGACACATGGCAAAGTCCCGCTTGAAAGGGAGTAAAAATTGCCTTCTGACAGGCGGCCACCATTTCCAACGATTCAAATGCAAATTGGAGCCATGCAGGGACTGCCAGCGTCGCAAGTGACGAGAATAAGTCGTGAGATGGCCCTGAAGTTGAGACACCAGCCCCCCAAAGGTGCTTGACGTTGCTTTACACCTCACAAACCAGGCTAGGATCGAAAGGGGGCATGCCGACACCTGCTGGCCCGCACACGGCGGCAGGACTCGCCGCTGCACTGCGACCCTGCGGTCATGCTCCCTCACACCAATGCTCTCTGCCTGTAGAGATGGATGCCTCGGGCTTCGTACCGTTGCCAGTACTGCTGCAAGAGCTGCGGTCCCCTGGTGCCACCGAGGCTGTTGTACGGCATGTGGTTGCATCAGACCTTAAGGTACGCGCGTGAACCCCCACCGCCACTGGGGGTGGCACCCCTTCCATGCCGACGCTTGAACACTCCCGCTCTTGGCCTGACTTGCGCGCCCCACCTCCCCACATCCCGCAATGCATGCAGGGCCGGTACGAGCTGGACGAGTCTTCCGTCCCGCCCCGCATCCGCGCCGTGCAAGGGCACAGCGTGCACCTGGCCGCGCCGCAGCTGGCGCCCGTGGGCAGCGCGGATGAGGTGCCGCTGGCGCTCCACATCACCTCACTGGAGGGTTGGAAGGCCATACAGGTGCGGACGCGGACCTGGTCTGCACCTGCCTGTGGACAAGCGCCGCCAGCTGGCCACCTCCAGCCTGCTGCCCATCCGCACCAGCACCTGCCCTCGGGCCTCTCACCTAGCGAGAGATAGCACAACACAGCAGCGTGCTGGGTTGTAGACGCAGGATAGCGGGGAGCTGCGGCGCATGAGCCGCACGCATGTGCACTTTGGGACGGAGCCGGGGCACTTGCGGCGCAACAGCTGGGCCACCGTCCTGCTGCGGCTCGACCTTCGGCAGGCCATGCAGGTGGGCAGGTGCCTCCCCGCCTCCTCAGGCTGCTGGCCCTTCCGCGCTCCGCCTTCCAGCCTGCATCCTCCGCTGCCCGGCCCTGGCGCAGGATGGGCATGCCTTCTTCTTGGCTGCAAACGGCGTGCTGTTGTGCGAGGGACCGCTGCCGGCACGCTACTTGGAACAAGTGCAGCGCGACGCGCTGCCGCCAAGCTGGAACCAGCAATAGCGTGGCACGATTGCAATCGACCAGCTGGCACATCACAGCGGTGGGCAGGCAGCCAGGGCTGGCCTGCCCCAAGGCTCCCCTCCCTTGCGCCACACCGCACCAAACTCATCGGTTACACATCCCTTGCAATCAGGCAGGTGCAGACATGGAGAGTGACCGGACGACATGGCAGTTGGGAGAGCGGACGTGTGCGGGTGCTGTATCATTCGCCCTCGCATTTTGGGCTGATTGGTTGGTGGCCGGGCGGCCGGCGTTCTGGGAGCAGGGAGACGAGAACTGGCGCAAAAGCAGCGAAGATGCAAAGGCTGGTAATGAAAGACAATGTGGAAAAGTGGAAAGGGCATTCGCTAGGGGGGTAGACAGGGAAGGCTTGTTCAGAGGGGTACCGAAGGTTAGAGGCGAGCAAAAACGAACAGGGTGCGTCGTGGAGGCGGAAGCAAGGGGAAGCGAGGCGGCCAGGCCAGGAGCAGGGCCAAGGTGGGGACTGGAGCAGGGAGCAGAGGGCAAAAGAGGGGAGAAGGGGGCCTGAACCCAGGGCGGGCGCTGATGGGCGCCGCTCACGCGGCACAACAGCTCGGGTGGCTGCCGCCGCCGGCAGGCTCTTGGTCGCGGCTCTGCCAGAGGCGAGCACGGTCCGCCTGAGCGGGGTGGCGCCGCCGAGCTTGGGGAGCGGCGCAGGCCGTCCGTGCCGGCCCTCAGATGGCGGCCAGCGCCATCGAGGCGGAGGAGCAGGCCCTGTCCAGCGTCTTGGACAGGCGCAGGTGCCAGTTGGCGGGCAGCAGCTCGCGCAGCGTGTCCATGATGCGGATGTCGGGGTTGAGCTTGGTGACCAGCCCTCCAGCACCATGGTGGTATCTGCGGGCAGGGCGTCA